CAAAGTGAGCGTCTAAAAAAAATGAAACCATTTTCCCATATTAAATGTGTGCCGGCGGAGTAGGTGGAGGAGCAGGAGGCGGGACAGGTCCAGCCCCAGCAGTTAATAATGAGTACGCGGGTGGGGGGTGTACGCTGAGATCCTGTCAGGAGACCCATTCTTTTCCTTCCAGGCAAAAGATGGCCAAGCAAGGACAATAATTTACATTCATTTAAATAATAAATTAGTAAATTGAAAAAAATTAATGAATTTTTATTATTGAAAGTATTTGAAAAGTTCTCGTATATTGATATCCCCCCAAGGAAAGCATCCTGAGTTCCATTCTCCGCCTTCATATATCCGTTTCCGTATATAGACAACATAATGCTGATCTGTTTCGCGTAACCCAGCATCCATGTACGCCTCTTTCCTATTTTTTTTTTTATATTTTTTCTTCAGAGGAACGTGTCCTCTTGTCACTGAGATACTGAAATACTAAAATACTGAGACACTGGGTCTCGACTGCTGATTATTATTCCGCTGACCGTTTCGTATTTATTTGAAAGGAATTTGCCGGCTGGCACACACACACACACACCCATCCAGGCACTCGCAGGACACAAGCACACACATATCCTATCCTTGGCATATGCGCGCGTGGGACTTTGGTGCGGGAACAAGGAACAAAACGACATATTCGTCCTGCATAAATGATGTAATAACAGCGCAAGATTTTTGCTATGAGCAATTTTTATTTTAATTTCTTCTTCTCCCTGCTTTCCACTAACCGCCCCCCACCCACGGCCAGTTATCCCGTTTTTTTCCCTCCCACCATCACATTTTTTATTCCTAAATGTTCCCTCTGATAAATGTGTGAGTGCACTTGGTCCCACAAGCCTGCCGCCAGCTTGCGAAATATTTTGCATGCTTTTATCATAATTTGAATTAAATGCGAAAAATTACTATACAAATTTTTTATTTTCTGCATAAGCAGTTACAGACCTTACTAACTTCATTTTTTCTGTAAACTCATGATTTATTTAAATTAATGAAAAATGAATCCGATCGAATGATGAAATGGATGATTTCCTCATTTTTCAAGAAAGTCCAACAAAAATGTAGAAAAAGTATTTAAAAAATAATCAGCCTTCCTGATTTTAATGCAGTTTAATAGAGAATGGATCCCCGATTACAAAAAGGTATCCCTTTTAAGGATCAGGCAGATATTGACCAAGATACACCCTTCACCCATATTCACGTTTTCTTGAAGTTCCCCATTTTTCACAGGGGGTCCATCACAAAATTTGGAAAAATATCTTCAAAAAATTGACCTCCCAGATTTGAATGCAGTTTAATAGAGAATGGATCCCCGATTACAGAAAGGTATCCCTTTTAAGGATCAGGCAGATATTGACCAAGATACACCCTTCACAAGATGCCATTTTACGTTTTCTTGAAGGTCCCCATTTTTCACAGGGGGTCCATCAGAAAATTTGGAAAAATATCTTTAAAAAATTGACCTCCCAGATTTTAATGCAGTTTAATAGAGAATGCATCCCCGATTCCACAACAGTATCCCTTTTAAGGATCAGACAGATATTGACCAAGATACACCCTTCACAAGATGCCATTTTTACGTTTTCTTGAAGGTCCCCATTTTTCACAGGGGGTCCATCAGAAAATTTGGAAAAATATCTTCAAAAAATTGACCTCCCAGATTTTAATGCAGTTTAATAGAGAATGGATCCCCGATTCCACAAAGGTATCCCTTTTAAGGATCAGGCAGATATTGACCAAGATACACCCTTCACAAGATGCCATATTCACGTTTTCTTGAAGTTCCCCAGGGGGTGAAAAAAATGAAAAATGAACATCAGAAAATGTGGAAAAAAAAATCTTCAAAAATTGGGTTGTAATATTTTTCTTAAATCTTAATAAATATATTGATTTATGAATGTGTCAATAATGGAATCCATGTTGTCAAAAAACAACTGATCACTATAAACTAATTTTTATAAATACAAAATCATTAAAGCTACTTACATGAAACATTTTTTGTTCAAAAATGCATTATATCAATTTGTCCAAATTATTTTCGATTTTTTGATATTCAGGACTCGCTGAGTGAGCGAAGGGATCCAGCAATTATCTACAAGAGAGAGTGAGAAGATGTTAAAGTTTTTTTTGGATTGGCAGTCAAGAGAGGACGAGAGCAGCGCATGTACACAATGGGCAAGTTTAAGGTTTTGCAATAAAATTTGTTATTGCTTAGGGTTTGATTAATAGATGAAAAATATTTAAAGAAATCAATAAAAACAACGGATAATCAACAATTTATAACAAACCAACCATAGTTGCATGTAGCTATTCCTTTTAACGAATTCTTTTCTAACAATTTTTAAGTATTTTATGACAAAATTGATTTTTAATATTTACTGACCCAAAATCGAATGAGCCAAGTCACGAGTTCAAGCGCCGAAAAATAGGCACAAAAAGCCACTCAAAGATATGAAGAGAGAGAAAAGTCGAAGGATTAAGGTTTACTTAACGGATGTCATTGTGAGAGAGTGTGTTGAAAAGAAGAAGAAAGAGCAAGTGCGTACATTGCTTGGATCAAAATGAAAATCTTTTTAGGATTAATTTTAGCATTTCAAAGGACTAGTTTATATAAATAAGTATAAATTTAATATAAAAAACAAAACCGCTTAACTTACCTTTAAAATAACTATCATAAACTATTATGGCTTAAATGCATCTGGCGTTCGAGATGCTGGCAATGCTCCAACGCCGACGCCCGAAACTGCTCACACTTTTTGCTGCAAAAAGAACTCAAGTTATTTGATGATATATGTATTTAAAATCAACGCTTAAATTATTAAAATTATTTTTTTAACAAGATTAATGGTCTTTTAAATGGTTTAATGGTTTTTAATTATGTTAAACAGACTTACTGAAACACAGCAGTACGTACGCCACCAGGTTTGACGAGCTAATGAGCCACCTCGGAGATGAGAGAGAGAGCGAAAGGAACAAACTCCATGGCGTCGGTGGAGAAGAAGAGGATCCGTGTATAAGAGTATAAGAAGGCCTAGGGGATTTCTAAGAGCGCCTACAAGGGGAGCCCATGAGCTCCTTCTACAGTAGAATACTTTGCGTTTCATTGCAGTTAAATTTAATATTTTCAGTTTTGAAAATTAAGAAAATAAAATTAAACTTTAACAATAAAATATTTAAACAACATTGTTGCATTTTTTGATGCTAGAATTTTTCTTAAGTTTTCAGAATAGAGATAAAAATATATACATATTTCTTCATGGACCCCTTTAGAAATTTAGAAAACTCTTATGTGGGGGATTTCTTCCAACTGAGAGGACATTAAATCATAAAATATCCCTAAATATCCCATATAGATTAACTGGGAAAGGTAATCCGAACAAGATATGGCTAGGATATACCCTTAAATGACAAAAAATCATTAAATATATGTACATACATATTTCTCAAGTGGAAAGCTTGATGCCAAAAAGGTAACTCCAGAACTTGAGGGAGCTACCAGTTAACCCACCCATATCTGCAAATCACTTAGCGGGCGCGTTAAATAAACTGAAAAAGCCAAGCCCGCGACCACAAAAATCAAACAGCAATCAAAAATAAAAAAAAAACCAGAAAACCGCAAAAAAAGGTTGCATCAAAAACAATAAAAACAAGAGCTCTGGACCAAGTAAACTGCGCTGACAGCGTGAAAAAAATAACACGCATACACATACAATACATAAATTTTATATAAACAAACAAAAAACAAGAGAAAAAAAATAGTAGTTAAGCCGAATTTGTAATTTGGTTGACAAATCTGGCGAATGGCGGCCAAAAACGACAACAAAAGCTGCAGCAGCAATAGTAGAGATAAGAACAATATTTACACTGAAAATTAAAAGGTGCCATATTCTCAAGTAACTTATCTGAGAATATTTTATTTAAAATTTTATAAATATTGGCCAATTTCTGTTTAGTTTTAAATATTTTCACTTAAATTTAATTTATCAAAATACAAAAATATATTAATATTTATTTTTTTCCTCTGTACCAATACAAAAAAAAATGGCCAAAAGTCAAAAAAAAGCTAACGGTCCAACAGTAAACCAGCGACCACCTGAATCCTGAATCCTGAATCCTTTTCCTGAATCCTATATATGTGTGTGTGTGCGTGGCTATGTGTGTGTAGTCGCGATGAGAAACGTGCCGATGCATAATCATTGAGGCCATTATCATTTATTTCACTCAAAGGTGTCGTTGTTGCTTGCTCTGCCACCGCTCTGCCCTCCTGTTGGAACAACGCGCGACGTCCACCTGCAAAAATCTAAAACACACGCACCACCCACCCATCCACCACCCACCACCCAGTAACACCGCGAAAGCAGAAGAAACCCAAGCAGGACATGGCTATGTTTTGGGGCTTAGTTGCACGATATAATCGAGTTGGGTTCCAGTAAGGTTTTGGGTATAAACCACAATACTTACTTCTTTGGTTTTATTTTTCTAAACTATAATAAGACCCCTTTTTTTTTTAATCACTTCGTGTAAAAGGCCCTAAAAGACCACCGAAGATTAGCAAATAACCCAACAACAGTGGGGCCACCGATTTTACAACCGCCACCCCCCTACTCCCTCCAGAAAACAAGCAAACCCCCTCGCAAATTTATGATCCCAAATGCCTCGGTAACCCACTCAATTGGTCCAAAGGCTTGGACGCCCCCAAACCCAACTGGGCCTAAATATATGCAAATGGTGTCGCGATTTCAGCCTATTTGTTTAGGTCAAAACTATAAAAGCTATACAGTAATGAAATCAAAATAAACCAAAAATCATAATACTATACTGCCATGCATAATTTTTTGGAAAAAAACATAGTAACCTTCAAAAAAAAACATTCAAATCTAACTTCAAAAACGAATCCTACCTCATTCCCATCCGGCCCAGCAAACAACAAACAACAAAAAAATTATAAAAATATAAAAATTATTTTAAATAATATTTAACTATATTTGATCTAATTTAAATTCAACACAAAACAAAATATGGACAAGTTAAAGATGAACCAATCCACCGATCAGAAGGTATCCCTTGGCCGAAAACTGACGCCGCCACTAGTCGAGCCGGTTTCCCCATTGACCCAGCTATCTGGGCCAACCTTTAGAGCCCGTCGTGCCGTAGTCGAGTATTATGTTGGTCGCCAAGTGTCCCCCGATGATGCACTGCTTCCTATGCCGCCGCACAACAAGGTCCTAAAAATGGCGGAGATTATGCAGATGCTACAACAGAAGCTCCTAACCAGCACCAACATATGGCATCGGGCTCTTCAATTTATGAAAAGGAAACTATAGTGAAGCCAGGATTCCAGGTTCCAGGTCCAGTTTCTGTACTTTTGGCCATACGTACGAGAGCAAGGACCCTTAAACCTTAAACCCATAATAAAGATCGGATCTAGTGTATTTTTCTGTAAAATTTTCAATACTCATCAATTGCGATCGATTTTAGGATCCAGCTTTGGATTTTAATTCCTTAAATCCGATCACATATACGTACCATTTCCTGTAAAGAATCTACAATGGGAAACTATCAAAGTTGAGTGAAATATATGATTGTGCCTCCAATATATAAGAATATCTTGAGTCTTATGGTTAAGGGTTTATAGTACTGTAATGGGTCTAAACACATCTTATTAGTAGAGTGGTTTGCACACCTGGATGCCTTTTGCGATTCAAACATAAAAATAGTTTTTAACACTAAGCAAACCCGGGCTTAATGTCACAAAAGGGCAACCAGACACTAAAAGCAAACAAAGCGGGGAAAAGCACCAGCAGGACCTCGGGACAGACGGCATTTAGGATATAAATTTAGTTATACAAATCTCGGACAAGGCTTTCCCAAAGGTACGGAAAACTCTTACGTAGGATAGCGTCAGCCTGCCTAGCCCCTCTTATATGGTCTAAGAAAAATCTTTGATGGTCTAAAAGGACCTTTTTTATATAACATTAAATCTTCTTTATTTTCAGAGTTTTTATTTAATTAAAAAAAAAATAATATATAATATTAAAAACTCCTTAAAAAATAGCCAGTAGGGTACCTAACAACGCAGCGACTCCAGTCCCCCAAAGTGCATGGCGTTCGTTTTTTCGGGGGTTTTAGGGTTAGGGTTAACCCTCTACTGTCCTCCGACATCACTCTTGGCGCTTCTTCTTGTTCTTCTGCTCCTTTATCTTTTTGCCATGTGTGTTGTAGGCTGCTCTGGTTAGCATTTTCCCAGCTTTTCCGCTGACAAATGTCAAAATAGAATTTTTGCGTGGATTTTCGCTAGCACAAAAAAACAACAACAACAACAACCGAAATAAATGCCAAGGGACATGGCCAAAAGGAATAAGGATAAGGGGAGGGGAAGCCCAAAAAAAAAAAAATTAAATAATATTTGCAACTGCCGCCTGCTTCTTATCTCAGGCACGTTAATGTGGCCTATGTGGCCAAAAAAAAATAAAAATAAATAAAAAAAGGAGGAAGGGTTGGTTGGGTTGCTCGGATTGCATGTCCTACTGTGAGACATAATTTTTAATAATCTACAATACAGCCAGGGGAGGGCGGTGGAGAGGCGTGGAGCTCTGAAAATACGCGCATGCAAATGGCTTAATTTTATGTACAATTATAATCTTTCAGCGAAAGAGACTAGGCTTCATTGTAAGAGGGTATATTAGCTAAGACTAAGCTAGTAAACAATAATAATTAATAATAATTTATAAATATATTATCGAATTATTTTAAAGATCTAGCAAATCTAGTAAAGACCTAGAGCCCTGTCTTCGAATTATCTTCCAAATTATTCAAAAAGAGTATTCCTAAAGTGTAATGCCAAGTTCTTAGATACTTTCTTCAGGTCTCTTATCTGCCTCCAAAGATTGGCCACAAGGTGTTAACACCCAAGGAGCCCACCTTTGCTGGTGAAGATTATCGTCTTCTTGTCTAAGCTTCGGATTGATGCCTCTTCTGCTACCAAGCCCAGGCCAAAACCCAATCCCAGTGCTGTAATTAAATTATCATGCCAACGGCATAACCCTTCTCTTGGAGATACTTACATGTTATGTACCTACATATGTACTATATACATATATGGAGGCGGTGGTGTCATAATTCAAGCCAGGAGCCAACGCAACGGGCCAAACATTAGCGCACTTTTATGGGCTTTCCTGGATAAGTATGTGCCCTCCACTTCTACGGGCATTTCCCTGCTTTTTTTGTGGGTATGAGTATGGTATGGTACCTCCCTCGAACTGTCTCGTTTTTCTATGATTAGCTGGGAAATTTATGACAGCCGCAAAGGAATTTTTTATATTTTTTTAGCTTATTATTAAAACTATAAATTAACGTTTTTGGAAACCAATTAAAAAATAGAAAAAAGGGTGATTCGAACAACAAATAATCCCACAAGGAAAGAGAAATGGCACTGCGCGGGTGGCTTCTCCATCTTGGACAGCACCAGATGTTGACCAAATGGGGACTTAGGACGTGCTTTTAATTTTTAAAAACTGCTCTTAAAATGCGATAAAACACGTTGAAATGGAAAATATAAAGCAAAGGAATGGTCTAGGAGAAGAACACCAAAAAAGGATGCAAAGAAAGGACTAAAGGATATGCTTAAAAAATAAAATAAAAAAAAAAGAGACCAGTAAGTAGAAAAAATAAAAGTACATACATGTTACATGTTGCATGTGTGTATGGATGATATATTTTATTCAAATGGAGGTGCCGGTCCACACCCACACTCAAACCAATCCCAACTTTCAAAATAAAAAAATATGGTATGGGGCATGGGGCATGGGGCAGCATCTAAAAAAAAAATCCAATGAGAGTCTGGGTTGGGTGGTTGGGAGAAAGCCCAAAGGAGATGGCAGGAGCATCTGCAAAAAAAAATGTGTAAAGCGTGCATTTACATAATGAAAGATAGAGCAGTGTGTGATTTTATTATATTTATTTTTTTTTCAAGTATTTCCAGTACATATGCATGTCTATGTGAGGAAAAGGGATTAGCACTGGTCGTAATATGCGTAGAATACAAAAAACTGGAAATGGGTAGACAAAAAAATTAAATTATAAAATATTGAAGAAAGTACCAAATTTCCAAATGGAATGGGGCAAAGGAAAAAAAAGAAAAGAAGTATCTGTAAATATTTATATATACATATCATTTCAGGGTCTTGCTATAAGAAGCACTCCAAAAATATTACGCATACGCCGGGCTATCTTACTCTGTGGATTCTTTAGGTCTTTAAAGTTTAAACCATTATTTCAAGAATTCTATAATCCAAAAATGAAAGTTTTTTAAAACCCAAATTATAAATTTTAAACTTACGTGCTTTTTTTCTGGGTCAGTCATTGGCTTTTAAGGTTTATTTTCGTTTTTTTTAGACAAAAATTCTAAAAACTTATTAAAGTATATGTGGTTTGATCGGAGTTCAAGGTTCACGGCAAAGTAAGATCGATAAGATAAGAAAAATTTTGTATAGCTCCATTATTTGCATTATTATCAAATCCTTTATTATAACACATTACCATGTTCAAATCGGAAAGAAAACTAATTAAGGGGCGTTTCTACCTTATTGGCCCCCAAAACCTGCTGTTTTTCAGGAATTTTTTTCCTAGACAGTATGATTGGTAAGAAAATAAAATTTCAACTCTACAACTGGCAAAATATAAAACCCAAAAGTAGAAAAACGATTTTGAAATTTGAACACGCTAACCCTCGCGCTAAACATTGATCCTCCAAACGACCGATAATATTAATAATTCAAGAAATTTCAACTCAAAATTTTGGGAGAGTAAAATTGAAACGTGTACCTATCTCTAAAAAATGAGTTTTTTTACTTTACAAGGAAGAAACCCCCCTAAAATATTTATTAATGGTTCAACAGCAAACGAACCAGAGCTAGATCGGCCATTTTGTGTCCTACCAATTATCGATAAATTGATACACCATTGACCGAAACGGCAGTGTTGTAAAATGCGGGCAGCTTAGATCTTGGCGGTCGAGCAAAATTCAAATGCTTTTTATATGAAAGATCCATAAACTGCAGAAGATAAATCCGATTTCCGATTTAAGACCCACTAGTAGAAAATAACCCCCCCTCAAATATTAATTAAAAACAACTTTGATTAATTATCATGTGCTACATTTTAAAATCAGTTTTAGCTGTTTTACAATGCATTCGGTTATATGTATATATATCAGTTAAGTGTTACTCTTAAATAGCCAAAAAAAAATACTAATATATATGTGTGTGTAGGCTTAACATAAAAAATTTTAGTTGACAGCTTAGGAACCTAGGAAACGCTCAGCTCTGCTTGCTTATGCCTTCGCTTTCGACGCTTTCGCGCCTTCCTGCGCAATCGATCGAACTTTCGAATTCGATCGCATATGAAGTTCTTGAGGTCATCGCCCTCGTACTGTTTGCAGGACATCGTAAACAATATAAGCGAATTAAGATAGAAAAAGAATCTTATGTCGTAATCCTCCATGGATGAATTGGATCCTGACCCCTTGGATTTGCGTTCATGATCTCTCTCCTTCTGCTTCTCCCGCTCCCTCTCCCGCTCCTTTTGGTAGCTACTATAGTTATGTTTCCGTAACTTGGGCGATGGGAAGTTCCGGGGCGTTTCATGGGCTTCGTAGATGCAACGTTGGCGCTTGGCCGAAAAGTGTTGACGTAAATAGTCGTAAATGCTCATATTCCTGACAACGATCATGGTGGTGGTAGTGCTAGTGGTTGGTCTGAGTCTGATGCTGTTGGTTTTCGTTCCCGATATATGCGTCGCCACATGCTGTAGATTGGACCAACTATCGTATGCCGCCTGCACACGATTTGGCCACGAATTACTGTTAGTCGTTATCTGTTTAAAGTTTCTTGATGTTGTTTTTAGCATTGGCTTATTGCTGATGTTATTATTGGTGTTGCATCGGTCTGATAATCGTTTTTGGACTTGATTATATTGATACGGATACGGATACGGATACGAATGATTGTGGATTGTAGTTTGATTATTATTATTATTATTATACTTGTGATCTACAGCAGTGACTTCATCCCGTCAATGATCATTTACCAACGGACCCCAGAACATTTTCGATATCTTAGTATCGTCTTCGGTCAAAAAGAACTGACGGCCCAAATGTACAAACTCCTTGAGCGACAATTGGCCATCGCCGTTCTTGTCTATCACAGCGAAGGAAACGGCAGCATCGTCTTCAGTCAGTCCCAGACAGCGGAAGAAGAGCTTATATTGTTCGAGATCCAGGTGGCCAGTGTGATCAAAGTCCACAGCCTGCAAATTATTAAAAATATTAGTATCAGAATCTCTTAATATCCTCAGAATGTTACCTTAAACAGATAGGGTAGGAAGCGACCGATACGCTTAGCCATTTTCTTATCATTGAGACGATGGTGAAGATCGGTTAGGAACTGCTCGGCAGTTACCAGATTGTAGGGGGTGATCTCTCCAAACTGTTCTTCCCATGTCTGCTTGATGACATCGTTGAACTCGGCGGCGACCTCCGGGGTCAGATGGCCCAGATCATTAAAGCGTTTGGCCAGCAAATTAAAGTCATCGTACGAGACGACACCATCGTGATTCACATCCAGGATGCGGTGTAAAGTGCGCATCTTACGACGCCAGAAAGCAGAGTCGCCCTTTAAAGAAAATGATAAGGATATTATAGCTTTTAAGCTTTAAGGAACTGCTTGAAAAGGACCTCAAAAACTGCTTTGAAGCTTTGATAGATTCCTAAAAGCTTCAGGCAGGACACAGCTTTTGAAAACTGCTTCCAAGCTTTTAAGGACTTCTTGGAGAAGCTTTCCAGCCCAAATAAAGCAGTCTCTTTTGAGACCCTCTCCTAAAGCTCCGATCTGTTACTGTTCCAAGCAGTGCATCTTACCCGTTCACTTCTCTTAGAGCTGAGCTTTTGGCGACGACGCTCAAATTCATCATCCGAATCGGAATCGGAATCGCTTTCCACCTCACGCCTCAACTTGGCCGCTCCGGCTTTCTTCGAATAGTGGCGGACGGTGGAGACAGTCGCGGTGGGCATTTGATGCCACAACAGCTTGTGAACGCCATTTATGCAAATTAGTCCCAGACCATTTAACTGAAGTCGCTGGAAAAAGAAAAGAAACCACAAGATATTGATTAGTTTTTTAGATCTCCAAGTAGCTTCCAGTTTATCGGTTACAGTTTGACAGCCATTGTTATTTGTATCTATCTCTTTCCAGAGGCTGTTAATCTAACAGCTAGCTGTTACCCAAATAATGTATCTTTGTTTATTTGAGGGTCTGCCCTTCAACATATAAACAAAAAAAACAAAAAACAACACTCGATATGTTTTTCATTAAAACTTAGGTGATATGTGTTTCAGTCTGTAGAGACCCACAGCCTAAGATTTACAAAATACTTGGTGAAAAAAATCTTTAAGATACTCTATAGCTACACCCTTGAAACAAAACACGTGGCATCTTGGAATCTTGGCAATCTAAAGCCATTAGAAGTAATTCTAGATGGAATATCAGCATCCTAAACATAGATAGATGTTTTCAACAGCTTCTGCTTGTTTTTGATAAGAAGAAAGGTCTTTTTTAATTACAATAGTTGTAAGCAGCAGCACTTTGAATGCCAAGAGACCTGATAAGAAGAACTCTAAAGAGCTGCCTCGCCACCGAAAACGATGATATCATTATCAACCCGAAACAGTATTGTATTTGGTTGGTGTTTGGAACGAACTTTGGCTTGATTTTTGTACTTTTCGGTAAACAAGTTTCTCCAAAAAAAAGAAAAACAAAGCTCGTGGCTCATTCTGAATTCAAAAAAAAAAAACGAGCCTCCTTTCAATTAAATGCTTGCCATGTCTCGAAACAAAAGAAGAAATAAAAAACACGTTTTCGCCATAACAACAAAAAAACAAAAAAAAACAAATGATTGATGGAAAAAGATGCAGAGGTATCTTTTTTTTGTTTTTTTTTTTAAATTTAAAGCCGAAATCGAGCAACAGGTCATTGCCAAATCTGAAAGAAAAAAAATTGCGAATTAAGCGGCGAATGCCATCGAGTTCTTAGCCATTTTGACTTCCTGTTTCGGATGAAGCTTCTGCGCCATAGAATTTGCGCAGTTTCCCAGCTTTCCTAAAGGGGGTGGTTGGTATTGGTATTGGCTTTCACCTGAATATACACAGTGGGAAAATGCCCACACCTTTGTTGATATTTACATAACCAGTTGCCACCTGTAAGCTACTAAAATTTAAGATACTTTTTTTTTTTATATATCATTTGAATATTATACAAATATCTTTGTTTTTTTTGGAAAACTTTTACGTTTCCTTCACCATCACAGTTTTAGCTGAACTGGCTTTACCCCACACACTCTGCTCTAAGGTTTTCAAGTCACTGGCCTCGTTTCTAGAACTAGTCTACCCTACTCCTCCTCCTTCTCATTTTTTTTTCGTTTTTCTACACTTCCTTCTCCATTCTTCCCCTCCTGCTGCATCGCTCCTCCCTCCGATTCTTCTTCTTCTTTTGAAGATCTTGAGGTTTTTTTTTTCGACTCCCAGTTGTAGTTAATTTAATTAACTTTACAATTACACTTACATGGCAGTCGTTATGGTGTTGGTGTTGGTTGTTGTGGGAGGGCGGGGAGGCGGGCTGATGGAGAGCGCCTACAGTTGCGGCCATGTTGCGTTCCAGAATTTCTCTCGAAGTGCGCAAAATATTGCGGCTCACAATGGAGAAGGCCATGTTTTTTTTTTCAGTGTTCTACAATTTGGCTTTATTTTACCGTTTTTTTTTTCTTCACTAACAGTTCAAAATTTCACTAAAAATTCACTTCTTGGCCAACACTGCATAAAATTGCAACGGTTTTCTTCGATTTTTTTTGTTTATTTTTGTTTTTGTTGTCTTTTGGTTGGTGGTGGCAACCTTTTTTTAGTAGCTGGCTGCAGTTAGTAACCGGTTTTTGGAGGAGTCTCACTAAAAAAAAGGTTTTTGCGCATTACACTGCTATGCTCTTCGCTCTTCTTCTTCTTCTTCTTCTTCGTTTTGGGATGGACAGAACCGTTCGTTTCAACGTTCGAATTCGTTTTGAAACTCCGAGGTTGGTCTGCGCGAACAAGTCAACATCGACGCCGGCAGCGACGCCTGTAACAGCAGCAGTCTGGCAGTCTGTATATGTGTGTGTGTGTGTGTGAAAGCAGCATGGCGGTGTGCGGGGTAACAGCTGCCACCTCAAGATTAAGTACTCTCTTGTAATGTTTTCAAAAGATACAATATCTTTAAAGTTGAGATACTTTTTAAGGTTAAACAAGTTGAGATCACTTTCTATATAATCTCTATAATTACTCTTATTAGACTTCCCTTCCTATGGTTCACTATTTCCCTGACCGCTGCTGTAACTTACACACGCTGCCAGACGGACCTCTTCAGGGTAAGCCGGTTGAAGAAAAATACATACATACATATGTATGTTTATATATATGTCTGTATGTATTTAAATGAGAAAACAAACAACGTGGACCAGTCGCTGCCAAACCTCGATTACATGCGATCCTCCAGAGCCTCCTGAACTTACATATGTATGTTTATATGTATGTACAGTTGAGGACTCATTGATAACATGGCCTATGGAAACTAAAAAGAAGAAGCAGCAGCATTCTTAAAAAAAAAAAAAATACTATTATGAAAAGTGCGTATTTGGGTCGCCGCGTGCGACAAGCTGTCAGTCCAATATTCCAATAAGCTCAAGCCCCTCCCCTCCCCTACCCCCCCCTAAGCGATCGCGTTTCGGGTTCTGTTTTTGTTCTACTTCACTGCCCCCCAAAAACGCATGTTTACCCACTAATCAACTACACACGCACACATACATATGCATCGGTATTACAAACAATTGGCGCCAAATAATTAGAACCACTTGGTAAAGAAAGAGCTTCTAAAATAGATACTTTTTGAAAAAAAACAGTAATTATTAATTAATTATAAAACTATTAATTTTATTTAAAAATAAGCCTCTTTCTATACCCCACCTCTGCTGTATCTCCTCCACACACCCAAACATAATGTTACGTCGGTGTAACAAAAAAAAAAAAAAAAGTGCCCCAGTCGGTCTATTGTATAATACTTTTGATGTCCAAAATGAAGCGCCATTGGACTTGGAACCGGAGCAGTTACAGCAACAAAGACTCCCAATCGCAGCCAAATTAAAATGCGGATTATCTCGATCAGGGGGGCTTATCTTCCCCCCCACCCCCCTTCCGATTTCTTTTCTTTTTTAATTGGATTTGGATTATTTATCCAAGATCCGAAGATCAATGCCTCCACCGTGAGCAGTTTGGGGAGCACTGGACCGTGCATACGTGCAGCATGGAGCTCTCTCTCTCTCTATCTCTCTCTCACTCTGTTATGGGAGCACTGCACTCTGGGGAAGAAAAAAAAAACACCCATGGGGGGGGCCTACACTACCGACCTCTTTGACTGAGATACTCGAACTTTGCAAATACATAGATACTCCCCATCTACTGGGCTCCTGGCCATGAATCCGGAACTGGAAACACCACTCGCCTTGGGGTAGAACTGCTCCAGAACGTTCGATGCACTGCATCGCCTGCAGGCTGACTGTCAGCCGGTCACGTAACTACCAGTATGCTCCATTAACAAAAAAAAAAAAAAACTACTGCAAATAAACTGAATATTTATGTATGTGTGTGTGTGTGTAGGAGCCCCCCCTTCAACATGCAAGTGCATTTAGCATATGGCTGCTAAAAATATATATACAGTTCCCAACCAATATGTATCTCAAGACTATAATTTAAAACCCAAATTGAACCGAGGAGTGGGCTCTTTAGGGGCTCATAAGAAAGTGTCGTACGTCAAAGGTTTATTTAAATTTCAGGCACAATCCACACTTTACATGAATATTGCCGGTTGCCAAAAAAATGGTATGAAGGTACAGGGAGGCCTCGTTAAATGAGATCATGCTGGAAGTGCTAGGTGTAGGTGTAATACAAATAACCGAAAAGTAAATAAAATAATTAAATAGTTTATGAAACCGAAATACGAGTGTTTTTTGGGATTCTTTTAATGAGAAAAAATAATTCAAAATTTGTTTAAACTTGAAGGGTAATTTTTTTCTATTTTAAACAAAATTTTTTAATATTGGTAAGTAATTTCCACCGGAATTGGGGAAGTTAGAGGCTGGGATCTATTGAGGATCGCCATCAGGACACCTGAAAATCACAGTTTTCATCTGAAATCATTAATTTCTTTTTTTTTTCTTAAATAAGTAACATATTTTTTAAGAATATGATCCTCCGAACGAAATACTTAAAAAATTAATGTTTTGGAGGTATTTGAACAAAATTTCAGGTTAATATATTAGTTTTTTCAACTTTATTTCTGAAAAAAATATATTCTAGTTAATTAAATCATTCCCGAATTTGGCTAATATTTTTTGGACTTAAATAAGGACTATTAATATACCTTTTCAGCTCGATTTATGAATAATTTTCGACTGAATCGAAACTACGTGGAATTTCTTTTAGAAACTTAACCAACATATTCTTGAAAAGTTGTACTAACAATTTATGCAATAAAAAAATCAACTTTTTTAACCATTTTATTGAAACTACATACCCCTTTAAAAACGAATATTAAAACTATAGTTTGTATAGAAACATAATAAATTATTTATAAACATTTATTATATATTAAACATTATATGTATATAGTTTTCAAAGAAGACGGTCTACCTTAGCCACTATCCTCTGTAATATTTTTAAGCTCTCTCCAGAATTCCTCCAGAAAACTAAACTCCACGCTTAGGTACATCATAATTTTTAGATAAGCCTGTCCACCTTAGCCACTCCCTACTGTAGTTTTAGTTCTAAGCGCCCTCCAGACTTCCAGTTGGAGCTTCTGGTTTGTGATGTTTGTGCTGGGACTCTAATCAGAATGTGTGTGTAGCCCTTTGTTTACACACCCACGTGGGCAAGGTGCTATAAATAGGTTTCAATATATATATACAATATATATATATGTATGTATATGGAGACATGTTTACAAAATGTGGACCCTTGGCGGGAAAGCCTTGCCCCAAAGATTACCTTTCCGATTTGTGATTTTGGATCTGCGTGGCTAGTTTTCAGTTTCGACTATCACACTTTTTCAAGGCCCCCCCTCCAACAAAATCCACGCAGTTTTAATGCCATTTGAGATACATCCGGAATCCGGATCGACATGCGAATGTATCTGAATGGCGTACGTGTTCTGCTCCATTGCCGGCTCAGCATAAGCGTGCGGGGCATGTGAGTAGCATTCTCTAATGATGTTGGGTGCCAGCTAGTGGTCTTCAAAAAAAAAAAAACTACATTCGGTTCAGAGGTTGTAGAATCGATCTTGTTGCGTCTTTCTTTTTTGTTGTATTTTTAGTATGAGGATTTCGGCACGTTGCCACTCACCAGTGGTTGCATGAACTGCTGGTCTTCCCTGCTGGCTTCCCATCCACCACTTAGCATAAAGTGTCGTCAACATTTTAATTGCGTCGTTCTGGGTGAGTTTTCCAGTTGCCTGCATCGGAAAAACAAGAAAAAGGGACTACGTGCCGCCTCGCAACGCTACCTTGCCCCGGCCAGGGGTACTGTTGTGGTAGGTTCGGTTCTTAAGTATCATCGGAGGCCTTGAGATGGAACGTAATAGCATTTTGCGATGTATAGAGTTGCCCTTGGAAATATTATTAGACCCTATTATGGAAAAACTCTTCTCGCAGTGTATTAAATTGAATTACAAGCTTATCAGCGACCTGCTTATTAGACTTGATAAAAACTCAAACAACAAACAAAAGTGAAAATAACAACACATGACCATCGTCATCGGTTCGGGTTACAAAACCCCCAAAGACCCCACCAGATAAACGCCAGACCCAAAATTATTGTAAAGATTAGGAGACTGTCTGGAAATGAAAATAAGTAACACAAATATAAAGAGATTTTTGGGGTTTTAAAGACTTTTGCTTAGATTTTAAAATATATGCAAATGAGGTTTTTTAAGAGAAACAATTAGTACCTAAATGGGGTTTCTTGAGGGCCTCCATAATTCCAGAAATTCTATCTAAGAAGACCTAAAGTGCTAATTAAATTAATCATTTATTTATGGCCCAAAACACACACTTTTTAGGGCCTAAAAGTTGACCTCGACATCATTAAAAAAATATATAAAACATTTCAAAAATCAAACACTGAAAGAAAATTAGCTTAAAATTTATTTAAAGATTCCTTTCTAAACAGTAATGGAGCTAGAATTTCAAGGGCCAAGTGTGTATTTTTAGCCAAATATATATATATATATATATATATATATATAGCTTTATCTGGCTGCCAAAAAAAAGAAGAGGAAAACGGGGTAACGTTGCTGCCGGCACGTTAACAAAAAAAAAACTCAAATTTTTTGCGTAAACAAAATTGTAAATAGTAAACAACAACAAGCCATCAACATCAACATTAATATCAACAAGACTTATCGAAATCCAGCACTTGGAAACTCTCCTAAATTATTACTTCAAGGGGTTTATTTACTAAAATATATAACTTAAAAATATTAATTACCGCAGGTGTGGGTCGGGTCGTGAAAAGTGCATTAATTTCAGCGATAAAATATCTCCACGATTTCACTGGAATTGGCTTAAAAGGTGCTCCAATGCTGGAACTCCAAAAAGTCTGGCATAATGTGTGGAGTTGGGGAGTTGGAGTTGGGGTTGGTGCTCCTGGTTTTAGTGTCCTATGCCGGTGGGGAAAACTACTGTGCGAGGGGTTTGTGTCCCAAAGGTATTACCCATATTGGTTGTAATAATAATGAAGTGAGTGTTTAAAAAAAATAAATTTATTTTAAGAAGTTAAATGAGCTCCCTCCCTTTTCACAGGCCTTTGGCAGCTCTTGCCCCACTAACGCCACTCTAATACCATTAACCCAAAAGGACAAGGACTCCATGGTCCAGATCCACAACACCCTACGCAACAAGTGGGCCAGTGGACAGGGAAAAATCCAAAGAAAGGCTTGCAAAATGGGCACCATGGACTGGGACGAGGAACTGGCCAGGTTGGCGGAACTGAATGTGAAAAGTTGTCAAATGGAACACGACTCCTGTCACAATACCCAGGAGTTTCTCCAGTCGGGACAAAATCTTTTCATGGTTGGTTACTTCGGGAGCGGTGATCCAGTGACAGTACAAGACATCCTCAACGAAGGATTCAACGAGTGGACGGACGAGGATGTGGCAGTCACCGAAGAGGATTTCAATAAATTTCCAGATCCAGTAGAGGGCCAGTGAGTTGCATTAGTATATATCCTAACTATGGTATATATATCTTAAAATCTCTTTAACTAGAGAAATTGGTCACTTTATGGTGTTGATTAATGAGAAGAACGTAGCTGTTGGATGTGCCATAGTATCCTTTTATTTGGACGACATTGAGTACTTCCTGGTGGCCTGTAATTATGCTGTTACCAATATCCTAGGTCGTCGGGTCTACTCCAGCTGCCCAGAGGCGGGAATTCAGTGTCCCAATGGCCTGGATGCCAAATATACGGCTTTGTGTGTCTAGAGATGAGAGTTGGATGAGAGACTCCTCCTAACTAAAGTTGAAATAAAAACTACATCTTTGGAAAGTCTTTAGAAAAGTTCTTTATTTTTTTTGGCGAACCAACCATGGTTAATCATCACTTGAATTTTTTCATTGAATTCCGACTGTTTTGGGGACTTCTGGAAGACCAGGACTCGAAAACGGACAGAAAACATGGTGACACTTAGGGCCCTACTTGGACACCAATGTCTTGAAAACGGATGGGCACTTGTGAGCCGGCAAATGACGGAAACAATAGGTCTTAATATCATCCAGATCGATATCGGCATCGGGCGATATAATGCATATAACGCCCAATCGATGGCCCCACAACTTATGGGGAATGCCCAGTACGGCGACATCATTGATGTTTGGATGGGAAATGAGTACTCTTTTGATCTCCGAACCGTAGACTTTGTATCCACCGACGGTGAAGACATCACTTCTTTTGCTCAGAAAATGGAAATTACCATCCTGGTAGGCACAAATGTCACCCGTCTTGAAGAAGCCATCATTCGAGTACTTCTGATCGGTGGTGCCCGGTTCCATTTGCTGGTTAGCGGATGGTGGGACATTGGTCTTGCCCACCAAATGGGCACCGGAAATCTGCAGTTCTCCGATAACCGTTTGTGCAATGTTGCCGCCCATGTCCGCCATTTGGATGAGCCCGTGGTCCACTGGTCCGCCCAGTTCATTCTTACATGTTATAAGCTCGGCTCCATTGTTGCTAATCAAACGAGCAGTGACCCCTTTCAATGGGGCACCCAGTGTCCCGGGCCGATAGTCGTTTAGAAGGGCAGCCGCCGCCGCTTTACGGCTGGGACTGCCGGTGGCACCTCCTCTTGCCACTGCCATTGTCGATACTCTGCCTCCATCGGCCGCTGGTTCCTCTATGGTGTGGCCCAGAACCAGACCCGTTTCCAGCATCCCGTAGTACTCGTATATATTCTGTCCCGTAATCTCACGCCACCGATAGAACACCGCGTCCGAGAGCAGACCATATGCGGTGCCCATCAGACGGATCTTCTGGCGACAGTGATTGTTAATGTAGTCGACCATACGTGAGTCCTTGGAGAACATCTTCTCGTACTCGGTTATCAGACGTTTGTAGACAATGGGCATGGCCAGAAAGAGGCTGACACGCTGCTTCGAGGGGCTATTGATCCCCAGCAGGGCACTCCAGGCGTTGTTTCCATCGAACTTCTGTTGCAGGACAACGTTGCCGCCAACATTCAAAATCGCACCGACAGCGACTTGCATCCGGTTCATGGATAGAATGGGAAACAAACAGTCCGAGGAACTTAGGCGCCAACTTCCAATCAAACATCGCATCTGAAATAGTGGGATTTTTAAACTCAATTCTGATGGAACTACTATTCCTAATGTCCTCCATACCTGTGCATCGATATTCCGATGGGTGAGCAGCACCGGCTTGGGATTGTTGATAGTGTTGGGCGTATGGAGCAGCATAGCCGGAGCTCCAGCATAAAAGTCACTAGGAAGGGTGCTCTCGGTTAGGACAACGCCCTGGGTGCCCACCAGCTGCTTGGCATACATGGACGTGGATGATATGCTCTCCGCCGTCGGAACAAACGTGTGATCCAGCACGATCGTGGCCGATTTGAGACCCTGGGCCAGTTCCTGGGCAATTGGCTCAAACTCCGGTGTGGCGATCAGGAGCTTGGTCTTGCAGCTAGAGGCATGGCGCATTAGTTGATCCATCGCCTGACTCGATTCCAGGGGCACCGCCACCTGGCCCGAGATCCAAATACTCCACTGGATGACGACCCAGAGTGCATTATTGGAGCAGAGGTAGGTCACATGCGACAAGGAGGCACTTCCTGCAAAAAGATAAAGGTTATACATTTCAACATAATTACCCAAATAGAGAGATTCCTTACCGCATATATTGGATATCTGTATGGCCAGTCGCTTGGCGGTCAGATATAGCTGGAAATAGGTGTATTCTCCATTGATGTCCTTCACGGCAATCTCGTCCGGATAGAGCATGGCCTTCTTGAACGACGGCACCACCAGATTGCTGCGCTCGTCCTCATCGAAGCTGTGTCGCAGCTTCTCAATAAAACCATCCTAGGCAGATCCATAAAATCCATTGAAACTTCAAGAAATATTATCCTTTGTGGGCAACTCACCTTGTGGATAAGTTCAGCGGAACAGAGGCGCACTAATGGCCGGAGGTTCAGCCTTTGACAGCGGCGTAGAAGCAGCATTCTTATTTTTTTAAATTAGTTTGGAAAAAAAAAAAATATTAACAGCGGACCGGCGGGTGAGTGAGGTGAGTGGGGGAGGCGGAGAGCACAATTTTGCTGTGCCTTTCAGTGGCTATCGTTTGAAAAGTCAAATGGGTTCTATTTTTTCCAGGGCATACTTGGTTTTTACGATTTTTTTCAAGTAACAGTTCCTGTGGTTCTTTTAAAGATTTAATTCAGATAGAGACTTTTTAAGTAGGGAAGCGTTTTGGGTATTCCGCTCAAGGATCGACTAAGAATTGGCGAAGATATGGACATCTTTTGAAGCCACACTTGGATTTCAGTGCTATTCCAAGGGTCGATAGTCAGTCTGTTTGAATTACGCGCCACCATGGAGCACTTTCTTTCAGTATTGTAAACAGTGTTGTACAAACACACTATGTTTGTATCTGGCCACACTGATTTTGGTCGAAAGCTTAAATTTGGCGCCACAGACACTCCGCTTAGCGATCCCAGAGAAAGAGGGAGAAGATACTGCGTTAGGTCAAGATATAGTTGAGATTATTATTTTAATTGTATTTTAGTGTTTGTATTAGTATATTTAGTAGTTTAGCAGTATTTTTCCTCCACATTTGGTATTATCTAGTTGGTCCCACTAAGATTTTGCAACACTGTGCAACTATCGATATACAAACTGGTATTCTGGTGCAACCCATCGCTAGCGCAGAGTTACCACACTGTTCTAAAGTCGTATTGTGCGAATAAGATTTAAGGAAATTAACAAAAACAATAAGAGAATTTCCATTAAAACAAAGGACAGCATGGCCCACGACCGCGAGGTGTTGCGCATGATCTGGGAGGGTCAAATTGGGATATGTTTTCAGGCGGATCGTGATGAAATCGTGGGCATTAAACCGGAGCCCTTCTACCTAATGATATCTCGATTAAGCTATTTGCCATTAGTGACCGACAAGGTAGGGAAACAAATATAAGCGGGTTATATTTATTAATTTACTGATTGGGTTGGCAGGTGCGAAAGTACTTTTCACGCTATATATCCGCCGAGTATCAGGATGGAGCTGTGTGGTTCGACTTTAATGGCACACCACTGCGTCTGCACTATCCAATTGGTGGGTATTCCATATAATGGAATAACATAAAATGGAATTTACATTTTTATACTCACAGGTGTGCTGTATGACCTGCTACATCCGGAGGAGGACAGCACGCCCTGGTGCCTCACCATACACTTTTCCAAATTTCCCGAGGACACGCTTGTCAAGCTCAACTCCAAGTATATATTCCTTTGAACCTGCATTAGGGCCTGTTCCGGCTTAGGTTTAAGTGCGAGAAAAGTTTGGAACAGGCCTATATAATTGTAAGACTGTTTCGAAACTTATACCCACTGTTTATATCTTGCAGAGAGCTGCTGGAATCGCACTACATGTCGTGTCTTAAGGAGGCAGACGTACTCAAGCATCGTGGTCTCGTAATTTCGGCAATGCAGAAAAAGGATCACAACCAGCTCTGGCTGGGCCTCGTCAATGACAAATTTGACCAGTTTTGGGCAGTCAATCGAAGGCTAATGGAACCGTACGGCGATCAAGAGTCTTTCAAGCATATTCCCCTGCGCCTATATGCGGACGATGTGAGTGGCGAATCGAATGGCATCGGTTTTGATTCGGATCAGATCAGATCAGATTAGTTCAGTTCCAAGCGAATGGATTGTAATCAGTATTATGTATTTTATATAGGACTTTACCTACACGCAAAAACTGATATCGCCGATCACGGAAAGTGGACAAAAGAAGAGTCTGGCCGACCTGATGGCCGAATTATCGACACCTAGGCTGAAAGCAGGTGAGTTTTGATTATTCTCTAAGCAGCGGCAGCTATCAATTTCCCTCAAAACACATACATACATAGCAGCATTTACAAAAAAAAAAAAGAAGATCTAGACAAACCATTGCCTTCGGGGCAGACGCAGCGTCTCTTTGAAATTAGGAAAAGGTGCCAGTCAGTCTGGCAGGGCCAAGTGCATGCCTATTCATCTGCTAGATGCATTTGTATCTATACGTACGACCCGGTCCGACTTACTTATTTTTTCTATTGAATAACACAAAAGAACCGTCCATCCATCCAACCATCTATCCATCCATCCAAACAGCCAGATATGCGCCCTGCGGCACTCGGCTATCATACTTCAATTCATCAATGCCACAAGTGAACAAAAATGCCGAAGAGGAGGAGGATAAAAACAACACAAACACACACACAACACTGTAAAGTGGAAAATTCAGAATCAAGAGAATTTTCAAAAACAATGCTGGCCCACGGGGGTGGTGGAAAAACGTACCCTGATCGAATCGGATCGGATCGGATCGCTAGAAGGAACGCCGCAGGCAGAGGTTCCCTTTTCCTCCTCCTTCGAGTCATGAGCACAAGGGAAATCCATTCAAAGTGTAAAAATAATGAAATAGAACAATAGAAGATGCCAGAAGGTCTAGTCTCTAGTCCAGAGTAACACCAGCCACTAGCTTTAAGTTAGAATCTAAGTTAGAGTTATATTCTTTAAGTTTAAATCAAGAATAATACTTTGTATTATATCCGGAACTTGCAACAACCTTGCAGGAACCTGGCGACCAGGCAGCATGATGTAGAGCGAGATAGCTGCTTTAACTGCTAACCATGAGAGTGAAAGAGATGGGTGCAGTGCGACTCCTTGCGGAGGCGGTGGCGGTGGCTTAGGTGCAATAATAGCATTGGGAATTCAAAAGGCGGAACTAAATACCTGCGGCTGGGATTTACAAATTATATTGTGAGGGATTTCGGGAACGTTTTGGGTGCTATCGGGTCCGTTTGCTTCTCGATTCTTAATTCCTTGCTGCGTTTCTCTTCTCTTCTCATTGAGACAATCGAGTGGCCTTTGAGTGGAAGACATCACCGGGTGCCGAGTGCGCATATGGTATGAAAAGTCTGGGTATTTCCCAGGTGTTTCACATTGTAATCATTTTTGTTGTTCTGTCCTGTTTGGTTCGGACCATATCTGGACAGTGCACACAGTGCACACCCGTCAAGGTGTGAAATTTTTATTTGCATGCTTGCACGGCCTTCGCTGCACACCATCCATCCATCCATCCATCCATCCACCATCATCCGATGATCCAAGGAATTTCCCATCCCAAAGGTGAGACATGAGCTCGCTTTTGGCAAACAATTGACAGGAAGAGGACGATGGTCCAGAGCTGAGGATGATTTAGGGATATTATCCCATCGACACGTATTTTCCCAAAGGTCACATGTTTTCTTTTGGCCTGTGTCGCCTGTGTACTCCTGCCACGCCTCGCTTAAGTGGGCCTTGAAATCCAAGCCAAGGCAATCTACGTATATCCTTTCGGGGGCACGGGATCAAGTAAAATGTTGCATAGCTCAGATTTCTGCTGGCAAGTTAAGCCCGATGGCGCAACTTCAATGCCCGATTCAGAGGATCTTCAATAAAAAATTGTTTCAAAAAACATATCTCCTTTCTAGGTGGTGCTTTTATACTACCGGTTCTTTGTAGAGCACAAGGGTATATTGTAGTCGTATAAAGTATTTATATTCTTGGGTCTATAAAGCCATGTCCGTATGGATCGAGTGGATCTCAGAGACTGTTGGAGGTATAGCTATAGGATTTGTGATGGAGACTACTATAATATAGGATTTGGGATTCCTATAAGAGCTATAGGATTTGGGATGCAGACTTCTATAATCCCCAAGCAGTTTAAATGTGTTTCAAAACTTTGACACGATCCCTTCTGTCTTTAAAAATTGAAGATTTCTGTAGCGTCATTGTAGCGTTTGATTCCAAACTATTTCTATAGTTAATATATATCTGCAAAACAAATTTTATCCAAATCGTCAGATTTTTAAAGGAGATATACCTTAAGAGATATACATACGGTCTAAAATTTTGAATCCGTGGACCTCTAAGACTATAAAATATAGAACTATCTGATTTGGAACTTGAACTCGTGTGATATTCGCGCAGATATTCGCGCAATTCAGCCAAATCGGATTATTTTTAGAGGATTTATAGACTTTTTAAATCAGAGATTTAGTTATAGATTCCCTATTGAATCGGTAGTACGGCCGTAGGGGTTAGTAAGGGGGCTACGTTTGTTTCTTTTCCCTCAAACTATAAGTATAAGTAGCCATAAGTGTTTTATAAACATTTTTTTCTAAGAATCCATACCTTTATAATTAAAATTTTAGTTAAAGTGACGTTGGAAAAGATAAGTACCGGGTATAATATAGTCTAAAAACTCGACTACAGCCATCTTTTCTTGTTTTTTGTTATAATTGTTAGCTGTTAATTAAAATGGCCTTTTAAGATTAAAAAATATAAGCAAAATTGTAAGATCTTTTGCCTTTTAAGATTTGTTCATTTTTTTAGAGTCTTCTCTTTCCGGTCTTCAAAGATTCCAATAGTCCAATGCCTACTCCTGCCTGTCAGAGGCGGCAAGATTAGGCAAACTCCAGCTAGAAATGGGATGCTGATGCTGATCACACGTAGGGCTATGCTGTGCGTGCGATTTCATAGAAAATGGTATTTAAATTGAAATAAAATTCAAAAAACACAATGGAGGGAGCCGACACGTGGAAGGTTCAAAGTAGATGCGATTCCACGAAATGAGTGGCAGCCACAAAAAAAAAAAAAACGAGAAAGGAAACAATCAAAGAGGCGTCAAAAAAAAGAAGGCATTTCCCTGGGCAGTGCCCCATCCCCCATTATCTCCAGCGGCTCCTGCTGTAGGGGCTTTAATGAGATGCCTCCAACTCCAAGACCTTCTCCAATCCGCAAATGCCGCTAATGTAATATTATTAATTTTTTTTTTACTGTTTCTTACTTAACTTTTTGAAGATCTATGTATATAGCTATAGTAGTATTATCTAAAACTGACAATCTCTGAAATGGTGTGGAGTTTAGGGTGCCCAGTAATTGGAATTATATTTGCACTTGTACTGGTGTTGTAGGTAGGGTGCGCTCTCGGATGTGTGAAAAGGAAGTTCTGAGATATCACCTCCGCTTATTTGTATTTACACCTTCGTCGGCACCTCCCGCCGCCACCTTCGTCTAATGTTTCTTCCCAGCTCTCCCCTCCCACTCTTTCCAGAACTCGAATCGCACCTCAATGTTTATCGCTGCACTGAGGGAAATATTTGGATAAATTCTAGATGGGATTCTAAATGGGCCCCCCCCCCCACCATCTGACCATCCTCCGCGTTTCCTTATCGCGTTTACTTAGTCCCATTCCGACACATTTTCGTTTGCATTTCGTCAATCAGACAAACAATGGCAACCTGCGAACTGCAACCTGGACTTTCTCGGTTCTGTTCTACCTGTATCTGACGGATCGTATCAGAGGACACCGCTAATGGTGTGCCGCCGGCGTGACAATTGGCGGTGCCACGCCTTCATTCTTTGGGGTGGGCTGCACCAGCACCAGCAGCAGCAGCAGCACCAGCTGTATTTGTACGGCCTTGTTGTTGCGGCACTTGCTGGTCATGACCACCTCACCGGAGGCAGTACTAGAAGTGCTTTCGTTAACCCAAAGACTTACTAAAGCCATCCAAGGCCAACTATTATTAATTTTGCCATAATCCCATTGCAAGTTTTTAAATTCCCTGAAAGAAGTGATTCAATTAAGGGGTTATACGCAGTTAGGATTTAAAAAAAATATAAAAAAAAAAACTATGTTTTTTATTTTAATCTACATATATATATTTATATCTTACATCTCCTCTCAAAATTTGAACTCAATCCGATATATATTTTCGGACCTATACTTTAATTTTTATAGTCATGTCAGAGTTCCTTAAAAACAGGGTTTCTAAAATCTGTAATCTTGATTTCTCCAAAATGGATAAACGAATTGGTTTGAAATTAATACACAATCTTCCTGGATATATACCCCAGGTAATGAATGAAGGAATTTATTTTTCAAAATTAATTACTATTTTTTTCGACAATTCAATAACAAAATTTCAGCAAATAACGAAATTTTTTCGTCGTTTTTCGTTTTTTCGAAAGGCCATATTTTTTTGGAGTCCTTCCTTCATCTGTATGCATTAATGTATTCTTTAAAAGAAACAAACACATTTTATTTTATTTTTTTTATTGCAAATTGACAAAAACGAGATCACCGCATAGCAAAATTTTCCGAAATTTCATCAGAAGTGGAATAAAATAAAACTATATTTAAATAAAATGTTATTACATGATCGTCTTAAAAGTAGCTTTTAGTTAAGTCTTAAGTCTAGAAATAAAGAAATAAGTATAAATATGTTAAAAATTTCTATTTTTTTTGTGTCTTGCAACTGCGTATACCCCCTTAATTCACAATCCAACTGCACCGTCAACAAATTCGGTAATAATCCATCCATAATTCTTTCCGCTGAAAATCATCGCTTGCGGCCCCTTTGGATTGACTTTATAACTCAATCAAAATAAACACATGAACAAAATTAAAAGCCAATTTATTTGCATGGATTTTTTAATGGCGTCACACTTGTGTACATATATTTAAGGGTTTTATTTTATACCCTAGCAAAGGGTATTATAATTTTGATGAAAAGTTTGGCAATGCAGTGAATGCAGTGCTTTGAAGTCTTGAATCTTGAATCTTGTGACTTGGTAGGCATTTCTTAAATGGCTTAAAATCGTATCTGAAACTGGTCTTCATACATATGTATATTTATAGGTTTTTTTTGTCGTTTATTCGTTTTTTAATCGATTTATGGAATGCAATCTATTAAGTGATAATGATAATTGGGCCGCCTTATCAGATCGGTAGAACGATTTTATTTTTAGCAATGAACTATGCTTTATTTCCACCTTTACTTTCCCCAGTTAGGCCCCTTCCCGCACTTCTCCAAGTCCAAGTTGCTTATTTATTTTTTCAAGTTTGCGGTAACGATAATAAAAAATGGGATTAATAATATTTTCAGACTGGTTGGCGCCAACGTGCGCCCTCTCTTTCGATGGCCACTCCACTCTTTCTTTTAAAAGATCATATATATATATATATAATATATACATCGTAATGCTTAGGAATCTCAGCTGCAGTGGCATGAATCGGTGTTGGACCCTATTTGACCTCGCTCGTTGCAAAAACCTTATCTCACTTCCACCGCATGTAATCAGCCATTATCAAGCAAACTGTCATACACACAGCATATGTATATCTTCCATGTTTTTTTTTTTATTCAACAATCTACGCGTATAGCTGCCGAAGTAAAAAAACCTCCTATCGAGAGAACATTGGCAATCACCTGGCATCGGCAATTGGCGATCGACAATCTATAATGATATTTAAAATTAAAAATGACGCTATTGTGGGAACAACTTTTCCAATAAGCTCGTGAACTGATTCCCAATAAAAGTCCAATTTCGTTGGGAAGCGTATTTATAATCTATCTTCATGGCTCGGAAACTGATCATGATTAGATTTGATGTGACTATACATACTATATACATACTAAGTGGATCGAGAAATCCTATCAGGCTAAAGTAATCTCTCAGGCTGATCTCATTCATTATGAGAGGGCGGTGCCTCATTATTTAAATCTATTGATATTTAGTTATTACGTAAATTAACTATTTTAACTATTTAAAATTATAATATTACCTTCTAAATAAAACTCTCTTCAATTTCCAGTTGGTTGCCGAACTCATGGTATCGATCTTCATGAGGAGACCCAGCTTCAATGGTTGTCGGAACACTTGAGTTATCCCGACAACTTTCTGCATTTATCGATTGACTACAAAACCTTGTAGCTTTTATATATTTAAGCTTATGTATAAGTATGTATGCCTGAGTGTGTGTGTGTGAGTGTCTTTAATTAATTTAATTCCAGCCAATCCCAAGTTTATATGTTTCTATACGTATGTACATGTACGCAATGATATATTTATAATTAAGTTGTAATTGTAATGTTTGTCGGTGTGTAATAATTACAATATGTTTATTTAAAAATATATTAAATGATCTATCAGTTATTGGGTTTGATTAAAAGCCAAAAATATTTATTTTAAATTTTTAGAAACCTTTCAGGGGGTAGTATAATCTTTAAAAATGAGACATCTTCTAAAAAGTATGTATATTTTTGATCAGGATCATCTGCTGGAACTAATCTCTAGACTTGAAGAACATCCTTTTTTGGTTTTTTTCTCATTATAATTATATTAAATAAGATAAAATAACGCTTAATTTATATATATTAATGTATATTGTATTCGGCTGGTAATGTAAATAAAAGCTGGAAATATAAAATATTGAGATTGCGCCATTAAAAGTCCTATAATTATTAAAAAAAAAAAAAGTATGGACCTCACTTTTGAGACGTTGCCGATCGATCAACTTACCCCTAGATACTCTTAAGCCACCGGAAATTGGACAAGCCCTAACAGTACCTAAAGGAGTAACCTGAATCGGGTGTGTGGGCGCGCTATCACTTTCGATCGCACGTTAACCACCTGTCAAGATAATAGCTTAATACATTATGGTTATGTATAAGTCTATAATATAGACTCTATATTCGTACCCGTCCTCCAGGCGGACCTTACACAATATGTTTTCGGCCAGGCCCGCCAAATCGCCGATCTTCCTTCTATTTCAATGAATTATTTGAAGAGCGTCGATCTATAATTAGTTACCACTCGAAAATGATGTATTCGATTATTATTTGTACATATTTGTCTTGGCATATTTACTCGGCAGAGGTCGTCGGAGCCCAAAAATAAACTGCAAATATGATAACGTAGAAATCGTGCCAAAATAAAGTTACTTTTCTTAAGAATTTTTGGCCAAAGAGGGACTTGAAAATTATCAATGTTTTGATGGATCCATTCGCCGGCTACAAGGACATTGATGTATCGCCATACATATAATAAATGACTATTTCTTAAACTTAGAATGTGTTTTTCAAATCTTTTTCAATTTTTAATATTTGAATATTACCAACCCGCGAAGCTTATCCTATCGAAAGTTCATAGCTTTGTCATCGATATTTTTATATGAAGCGGTATGGCCATGCTCCCATCGCTATTTATCTTTCTATCATCGCCTACGATCAAACTTTATTTGATATATTCAAAGAAGTTTACTTTTTATTATGAATGGGATGTCCATGATGATTAAAAATAGGGAATTAGTCAAATGTCTTATTGGAAAATAAAGGAATTGTCTAAAAGAAACATCCTAGTTTTAAAGCAGTGAAAACTTTCATTTTATGATTTTGTTTATTGTTTCTTTAGAAAAGCGATTACGAGATTTTATTTGCTGTATATATATATGAATTCCACGGGGGGTTTTTACCTATTAAAGTTATATCAATATCATTATTTATTCTTTTGCCTTTCCGGATAGATACATGTTTTAATTTTACTCTCCTATTTTGAGTCGAAACCTCTTGAATTACGAAAGTAATCATTCGTTTAGTGGACCGGCGTCAAGCTCAGGGGTCCGCGTGTTCAAGTTTTCAAAAACGTTTTTCTTAAAACCATGTTGTTCGAGTTTGTGAAAGTCCTACAGGCCGCATAAATTGAGATACTTTTCTCATATGCATCCTTGGTACAAAAATATGGTGAAAAATATTGGAAATTGTTTAATAAAATATTGTTAATTATTTAATATAATAAACAGTGAGGAAAATTTGATGAAAAAGTCTATAAGTTTTTTCAAAACACCATAATTTCCGCATTTTTTAAGTTTTTTTTCTTCATTTTGATACCACGGATGCGGAAAAGAGTACAGAATAAGAAAATATTTGTCTTCTGCGTTTCTGATATTTTTTAAGGACTCTACGACTTCCGCATGCCGCCATTATTGACCCCAAAAAAAATGCGTAACTTCAATAAACATTACTCTACAACTGCCTGAAAATTCCATTTTCATACCTATTATACTTTCCAAGAAAAAAATTCTAGAAAAAACCGCAGGTTTTGGGTCCAACAAGGTAGAAACTCCCTCTTTGGAAAAGTTTAGATTTAAACTCCATTTTTATGCTTATTAATGCTTTTATTCATTTTAGATTCCCTATATATTGATAAAAATAAAGTATAGAGAATAATGGTAGAATATGGAAATATAAGATGCGGTTCTTGGCAATCATATGCCATAAAGTAATTTTTTTTATTTTTGCTGAAATTTTTGAAAGCTACATATGCACATGCTTCCAACTTTGTACGAAATTTTCATAATTATTTTAATGACCTTGTTTCTTTAAGGATTTTAATTGGCCAGGTCTATATATGTTAATTGGCCAGGTCTATAGGTGGTGCTTATTACCAGGTCAACTGAAAAGCCACCCAAGCATCCTGTTGAAAGCTTTTCCTGTTTTGGCTTAATTTTCCAAATATTTCGTAATGCTTACATCCCCGTCTCATTTTAGGGTTGGGGTTTGGGGTAAGTGTTATTTAAACATTTGCAAACAAATTCTTTCTTGGCCAAATTTACTTTGTAGCCAACGGCTATCTGCTTTGGTCTTATGTACAAAAACAAAAAAAAATAAATCCTACGTCGGAAATTTGTCACGTGGCTGAAAAAAAAACGAAAAAAAAAACCCATAAATAAATTAGGAAAAACGAAAGAAAAATAAAAAGCTTACACGGCATCGCGAAAATAAATCTAAATTTTGCAATCATCGACAATCGCCACCCACAGTTTTTCAGTTTTTGTATTTTCCACCTGTAAGTATGTGTTCCTCTGACACACAATTTTCGCTATACTTTTCATTCTTGTTTTCACCTTACCTTTCGGTAAGGTATTTCTATAACCTATATACATATATATAGTACATATGGGTAGGTACATTATAATTTTTCAATTCATGTTATAGAAACCTTTACCAGTTGGATCCTTATAGGAATTTGTGGGTTGGTACTCCTCTATTTATTATTTTAATATTTCATTTAAGATTACCTTATCTTTTGATATAAATATAAGTACATAGATATGTATAAAGGACCACTCTTGATATTTATTCTTATTGTATATACCCTATATTACAAAAATTTCTTGGCAGGCGATCTAAAGAAGGGAAAAAAAACGTGAAAAACAATAAGTATGATCCGAGATCCGATCTGCGATCTGTGATCAGCGATCAGCAAACTCGAGCGGTGGTGCTCATAAGTCGATGGTGGTGCTGCTGGTGGTGCTGCTATGCCTTTCCGCTTGGGACTCGTGATTGGCACACACATTGCCAAACGAGAGCACTTTATTTTTAAACGTTTTAAAAATACGATCATTATAGAATTTGCGGCTTAGTCATACCCCCGCTGGGTCGAAATGTGCTAAGCGAATTCTGACCAAGCACTAGAATTAAGTTTCGGTACTCCAACCAACATTAAATAAGCTATAAATGCAATCATATGGATATTCTTAAGAAAGATATTCTTCCCCCAAAAATATTAAAACTTCAATATCTGTATTTTTTTTTCATTTGTTAATTTAATCAATTCGCTTGTTGATTTTTTGATTCTTGTTTAAAGTGACAAAGTTCTTAGTGTTTTTTTTTGTTTTTAACTTCCAAATATTATATATAAAAATACTGTTGTATATAAATATATATATATATTTGTATATTGATTCTAGTCTGAGGCATCCCTTTGAAAAAAAAAATTAAAGAAAATTATTATTCTTTGCTTTGTATATAAATATGCTTTGTATATATGTATATATTGTACATAATTAATATAAACTTTTTTATTAAATTTAATTTTAATTGCTTGCTCTCTCTTGCTTTTGTTTTTGTAAATATATGTATATATATATACTCATTTTATTTTTAAGTATAAAATTTCAACAATTTTTTTTTTGTTTTAAATTTTGTATTTTTTTAGTTTTTTGTTTTTCGTTCATATCACAAAAATTTTCAATTTTCAATTTTCCAAAAAAAAACTTCTACAAGTGTATATATGTAAAGGTGTGTTTGTTTGTTTTTTTTTTTTTAAAGCTTTACTATTTAACAATTTTCTCAGTTTCTTAGTTTCAGTTTTCACATTTTTTCAGTTTTTTCAGTTTTCGCCTCACGATTTATCGTTGAATTTCTTAAAAAAACAAGACTTTATGTTCCACTTTGTACACTAAACTATTAATATTATAGTTTTAAAATTATCAAAAAAAAAATATGTTGAAAAAAATTGGGGTGTAACTTAATATAATTTGTTCTTAGTTGGTAACCAAAAAAAAATATATATGTGTGCTTTCTTAATTTATAAAATAAACCTAAATAATGGGCTTTTTTTTAGGCTTTTTTTGTTGTTGTTGTTGATATGCGTGGAAGATATGGGTTTCAATCGCTTACAAAATCTAACAAATTAGTTGGTAGATGGGTTTTTTAATAAAAAAAATATTATATAGGCATATTTTTGTGTTAAAAAACTAAAAGGCCAGGCCCAGTGACTGCCATAACTTTACTTTATTCGCTCTAGTGGTCCTCACGTCCTCAGGTCCTCAAGGTCCTCAGGTCCTTAGGGTTCTGGATGCTACTGCTACTCCCTGATCCTGATCCAAATCCAGCCAACGTTGTAGATGATGCTGTTGGACCTGTTGATGCTGTTGGATGTACATCAGGTTGTCGTTGTAGACGGCAGCGCGCAGCTGGAGATTAAGGCTGTAGTTGCCACTGCCACAGTTGCTGCTGGTGTCGCTATATGTGGAGGAGCTGCTCTCATATCCGGAGACCGGGGATCCCTTGGGGCAGCAAAATCCTGGCGGCGAATAGGGTCGGTGGGGCGTTGTGGCGGTGGCCTTCTCCTGAAACTGAGGACTCCCCCCGACAACGGGAAATGTCTGCATCTGGAGTTGGGGGCAGGGTGTACTGCCCGATCCCGCAGAGAGCGTCGATAGCGGTGATGAGGCCGCCGATGATATTCCGCCTCCGTGTACAACCAGGGAGGTGGGGCAGTGAAAGATCGGAGAGGCAGAGGCGGCAGTTAGGGGCGAGAGGCAGGCACCAGGATACGGATGATTGCTCCAAATAATTGGCTCCCTCTGCTCGTTCACCTTGGTGGCTTTGTTTTTCTTGAGGCGACGTTTCTTGGCCTCGGCCGAGCGCTCCTTCGCATCCACTTCGTCATCATCCGCATCGGCATCCGTATCGGCATCCCTGTCCTCCTCCTCCTCGGTCTTCAAATCCGCCTCGTCCTCGTTTTCCAGAAGATATGGCTTGAAGAGCTTCACCTGCTTCGAGGGCACCTTATGCTCCTGCTCGGGCACTGGCTCCGTTTCCGTTTCCGCCTCAACATCAACATCGACCACATCCACATCCTCGCTCTCAGTCTCGGGCTCGGCCTTAATCGTCTCCAGCTTGCTGATCTTATCCGGCTGGAACGGTTGAGTATGGAATTTACGCTTCCTAAAGGTCAGATCCACCCCGGTGGGATCCTGGTCTCGCTCCAACTGTTGCATCTGGCGACGTGCCGAACTGCCCAAAGACAGATCAATGGGCACCGGTGTGGCAACCGCCTCCAGGCGATTCTCTGTCCGTTGGGGGTAACTCGAAGCGGCTGTGGCCGCATCATAGGAATAATGCAGCACCGGAGACGTACTTAGAATTGGCACTTGAATTGGCACTTCGTTTTGGCTGCTATATGGCAATGCATTGGCACTGGCTCCACTCCCATTTATGGTGGTAACCGATTGGTTGGTGGTATTGGTGGGTAGGTGGTTATTAGTAGAGCTGCTACTGCTGCTGGTGGCCATGGCCGCGGCCACTGCAGCAGCGATTTTGGCCGCCGATATGGATCCATTGGCTGTGGTACCGTTCAGCTTCTGTTGCTCCTGCTGCAGATGCTCCAGCTGCAGTTGGTCCTGGTCCTGGTGTTGCTGGTGTTGGAGATGGGAGTGCGGATGCACTGCCACCGGAACGTGCAGGTGCGGGTGGGTGGCGGCCAATGGATGGGAATGAGGATGATGTGCAGCCAGTAGATGGTGGGCATGATGGGCGGCAGCTGCTGCAGCTGCAGCCGCTGCTGCTGCCGCCGCCGCAGCCGCATGATGATGATGGTGGTGCAACTGGTGGTGATGGACCATTGGATGGGTCAATTGGTGGTGGAACTTGACAACCTGTCCGGGCGTGGGTGATACTGGAGATTGTGTCGCCGCCGCTGCTGCCAGACGCTGGGGAGCTGCAGGTGGCTGCTGCTGTTGCTGCTGCTGGGCGGAATGTTGTTGCTGCTGTGCTTGAGTGTTGGCCACCGAGGACCTTAGATTTGGTTCGCATTGTAGCCATTTTTGAATTTGGCGTCGATGGATGTTGTACTTTCGGGCGGTGGCCCGTTGATTGCCCTTGCAATCGTTGTCATTGCGATATGACTCCAACACTTGCAACTTAAAGTGCGGCGTGAAAATTCGACGACTTCCCATCTTTGGGCTACCGCCAGACGACGAGCTGTTGTTATTCCCTTCTTGTGACTGTGACTGTAACTGTGACTGTGACTGGGATTGGGATTGGGATTGAGACTGATGCTGAGGCTGTGGCCGCTTGAAGTTCAGACCAGCGGAGCTATCCATGTTTCTTTAAACTTTTCCGTTCAGTGTTTTGTTGTATCAACACTGGCAGCACTGTTCAACACACACACACACGTTGCGCTGCGATCCGCACGGCAAGAAATCCAAAACACAATTGTTCTGCCCTCGGCGTTCTACTTCAAAGATACGTTCTAGACTGGCTCTCAGTCGCTGGCGCTGCCTCAGTCGCTGCCGACACCGACGCCGACGCCGCTCGTGCTCACTCGCAGACTAGGTGTCTGCTAATAGGAGCAAGCGAGATGGGTATACTCGGCGGGCACGACGAGTCAGTGCAAGTGGGAGCGGAGCTGTTCATACCCGTTCTTGTATATTTTTTTTTTTTTTTTTTTTTTTTGCTGTGGCGCTTTTGTGCGCCGTGCACGGTGGGACCGAATGGACAGCCGGGGACGGAACCCGTCCGTCGCTAACACCTACCCGTACTCCCCCTACCCTTTCTCGCAATGCTTCTGATATTCTGCTGCCACAGCCATCCGTCGAATGAATAACTGACAAACAGGGCGCACAGTGGGGCGCATTTCTTGCAACCAGGTGGTTATATATATATTTAAATAATGTTTTGGATAATATGGCATATTATAATAAATAAAAATAATACTTTTTAAGAATTTCTACAGGTGAATAACATAATTTATTATCAAGATATTAAAAGTTTATTAGATTTAATATCCAAGAAATGTAAAGAGGCTTGTGAAATATTTATATCACATTAAAAATATTATTATATAAATATCTAAGGTGACCCACTGTGCTGCGACGACGTTTGCGGCTGCGGTGGCCATTGCTTGGTGTTGTTTTGCGCTACAATTTTGCTGGCTCTGCCAGTTTTCACACACACACACACATGTGTGTATGTGCGCCAGAGTCGTGGCTGCCAGACATTCTGGCACTGGCACTGGCACTCGCTGCCCCACTGCAACCCGAACCCCAAAATCGCCCCCCATCCCCTATCCCCACACCGAGCGCCGCCGTTCTCCTCTCACATTATCTCTCTCTCTACCACTATCCCGCTCTCAGAGAGAGAACGGACGCAACAGATCGTTGGCCGAACTTGTTGAACGACGCTATTGAGGCGCTCTTTCACACTTGTTCCCCGTCGCCAAGTTCTCTCTTTCTCACTGCCGCCTTCGGAATCAACTGTTGAATGTGTAGTGTGTAAAGGCAGCGGCGAGTGAGTGCTACACTGCATTTTTTACGCACACACACCAACAAACTGTCCGTATGTGCGCAGTTATTGGTTTTTACTCGGCTGTTATTGCTTGTGCATCCTATAGATAGCTAACCTATACATACATACATACATACCATACCATAGCATACCATACATACAGATACAGATAGCTAGCTTATTTCTGTCGACGTTGCCGCCGTTCTGTCTAAGCCAAAATCTAAAAGACAAAAAGGGCAACACAAAACCAGATGTGAGTGCGCACAGCAGCAGCAGCAGCAGCGGCAGTACTCCACACTTGTGGAAAATGACAACGAAAATTCTCAGCTGCTATTGCTGTTGCTGTCTCTTCTTATCTGTGCTTCTTCTTATTCATTTCCAGCGTTGGAATTCATGAATGAAATACATATGCACGAAACGGATCTTTCGTTTTTCGCTGTGACAGTGGGCTTTTTTGGCCTGCGTGTGTATGCAAATTTATAAATTAAAAAACTATAGAGAGAGAGAGAGAGGGAAGTATTTGAGTCATCTAGCCCGATGATAGATCTTAGATTACCACACGCCACCTTAACCCTTTTCAAGCCAAAAAAAAAAAAAAAAAAGAAGCCATCCCAGCAGCGACGACGAGCTGTCTGGAAAGATCGAGCCCCACCAGCAAGAACGAAAGGGAAAGACCACAGAAAGAGAGATACACATATAGAAGACTGCGACTGCAAAGCCGAAAAAAAAAAAAAACGAACTCTTGAAGTGAAGCCCACAGGCGGCAAGAGGAATACGTTTTTTGAATTGCATTTCCAAGTAAAGCGGCCACAAACAACCCAAAAATATGCCGACAAAAACGCACACTATCACACCTAAAATCAACTCAAAAAAAAAAAACAAAAAAAAAGTTCAAAGCAAAACATATATATAAATACATACAAACATACATAAAATCAAACGAATTCCACTGTTTTTTTTTTTTTAACCCTGTCGGCTTCTAAATCGATTTATCAAAAAAAAAAAAAAAGAGCCGGAAAAGACTAAGGCAAAAAGATAAAAATTGAATATAAAAAAAAAAAAAAGGTAACGTAAAAAATCGAAGAAACCCATGGGTTGCTTTTCAGTCGCATGAATTGATTAAAAAGTATATATATGTACATATGTCCATATGTATGTATGGTAGGGACAGGGAAAGGGTGCGGCACCGAAAACGTACGAGGTGGAGAAGAACGATGTGCTGGGGCATTCTACATACATACATACATACATCTCTACATGTAGGTATATCTGTTCGGTTCGATCGTGCGAGTGGAGCAGGAGAGGGGGGTTGCCTTGCTGGCCGCCGTGCCGCCGTGCTGTCTGCGTTTGAATAATCCCACACACAGGCGCACACACACTTGCATAGGAAAGAGGAGAAGGAGGCAGGAGGAGGGCAGGGACAACAGGAAAGCGAGCATGGCCCTTAAGAGCGGCTTTCAAATTGGAAGAGATTCTTTAATATTAATTTTTAATATTATTTTAATATATATGTATATGCTTGTATGTCTGTTTTCCCTTGTCTATATAGTTATGACTAAAACCCATGACTAAGTCTAAAACAATCCTTATCAGGCGATAAGATCAAACAAAGGCACAATCCAAGTGCCAAGTAGTGTATTTGTCAGCCAGGCACTGCCGTTTTTCTGCAAAAAATATTTACCTTCAAAGTAAATAAATATCTACATACATACATACATCTGTATTAAGTTAGCTATATGTAATATATCTTTAACCTCTTCTCACCCCTTATCAGTGTCTATTATCAGCCTCTATACGCTAATGACCTACCCCGGTATCTGTATCTATGATTCGGTTAGGGGTACGGATCCAGATCCATACACGTGGCCTGATCACGTTTTGGAGGGGGGGAGGAGGGGAACTTTGATTAAAAAAAAAAAAAAACCTGTTTACAATATCAGTATAGAGGCCAGGGTATATTATTTGGGGTATTACTTGACAAAGTGACACATGCAATGATATAACCCCAAAGGCCCTATGTAGATCTAAAATGGTAGACTTTAAGGATCTTAACTTCCAAGTTTCCAGGTAACTATGAACCGAAGCGAACTCAGGCGCCTAATGGATAGTTCTTCTCGGAAAAGAAAGCGGCGGCCTGGCCAAAGCTACCCAAAACCGAAAAGCTAACGTCATGGTAAAGTAATGTTGTTGTCGTTGTCGTCGTCGTGGTCTGATCCCTATCCTTCTTCCTCCATTTCTTACGTTTGGGTTCGGTGTTGGTTGGGTCCCTTTCTGGGTTCGGTCTTCTGGTGCCCCTATCTGCCAGACATTGGGCCGCCGCCGCGGCCGCCTTGTCGATGGGATGGGACGGCGCATAAAAAGACATGCTGACCATGCTGACCATATACAAAAGAAGACCAGAAAGGAAGTCTACCTTTTGGGTAAATACCCTATATATGTATCCTTGAGGCTATATAAATGATAGAGCTTTGGTTATAAAAAAAACTTAATAAAGATATAGCTTAAAGATCGTCTATCTAGTAGGAAGTCTATATTATATTATAATATTATTATATTGTCTATATATTCTTCTTAAGGACTCTATTATCCAACTATACCCTCTGCTAGAGTAAAAAATCGCACCACGTAAATATGCACATGTTTATACATGTATTATATAAATATACACAAATATATACATGCATGCATGTCTGTGCACGTATGTATGTGTGAACCAAGATCCAAGAAGGCTGGATCCCTAAGGTGGGTGGGGCTACACAAAAAAGTAGAGTTTCTAATTTTTTTACTAAATCCTTAAAGTTAAACCTTAAACCCAGCTTCCTATAGAGGTCCTAGAGTGGATCCTTAACCCTTATATGATCTTGACTATTAGGGCCAACTGTAGAAATCATTTTACCCAAGACCTAAGCTTGAGTACATTTTTTCTAAAAGGGTATTTCAACTTCGTATTAACACAAAGTTTGCAAATTTTTTGTAGCATGTGATTTTTTTTGCAGTGTATACACGAGAAACGCATTGCGCAAGGGCAAAACTTTTATTAACTTTTCCGAGAATTGGAATTTCTTGGATCCTTCTCGCTCGCCTTGCTTGGCCTGACTTTTAATGCCCCGCCACTTCCTCTGCCCGCGTCGCCCCCTCCCCCGCCCCCCAATTCTTTCGCGCAATCTCTGGTGGACGGACCTCTTAGTAGGGGCATAGAGAGAGAGCTTCAGGTGCTGGGCTTTCTCCCCAGTGATGATGCCCGGGTTTAGTTAGTACTTTTAAATTAGTTATTCTATTTTAGCATATACTAGAAAGATAGATCATATACTATGTAAGTACAAACATATGTATGTAGATATATGTAGAAAATACCTTTGTAGAACGTCAAAATGCAACAAATAATACAACAAGAGAGGGAGAAAAAGAATGCAGAAAGGGGCGGGAGAACCAAAGAAGTAGCTGCAGGCGCTGCTTGGGGGCTCACGCACACAACCACACACAGTTTAATAACGTATCTAAGCATAATAAACTAAAATTAATAATTCCTTGCTAGTAAAATAATTTTCTTTTAACAATTATCTAATCGTCACTAAAAAAACGTACTTGTCATGAAAAAAATGATGAAATAAGCATAAAAATACCCGAATCAACCGATAGCAATAAACTTATAAACAATAAATCTTAAAGTGGAGAATAGAAGGCGTACTATAGAGGTAGAGGTAGTAGAGGGCGGTGGGGCTAGAGGGACCTGCTGCAGGAAACGAGGGAAGTGGGCGCACGTTGCTTTGGAGAGAGATGGATGATGGAACTGAACGAGAGAGCGAGATAAAGCGACCAAAAGACTGTGCGCCGCACTCTGGCAGACAAACTGGCAGGCGGCGGCTGCTCCTCCACCTCCTCCTCCTCCTCTACCTTTCCCACCGTCTATCTTCTTCCTCGGCTGCGCCCCAAGCAGCGCAGCATAAAGCGCCACACTTGCGTCTACATGTGAGT